CGCACTGAAGCATCCACATCACCAGCACCTCAACCATGGAGCACGGCCCTCACTGGCAACGGGGGTCGTTCATGCTCATATGTGCTTATGCGCATATTACTACCGGGTGGAATAAAAACACCTACAACTGAGATGGAAGTGACCGTTCACACTTCCCATCCGACGTCTGTTCATGTCAGGGGGGGTCAGACCTTGGGAAAAGCAGAGTGGAAGCTCTGGCATAAGATCAGACATCCCCCGGCGTCAGCAAACTCCACTTCCAGGACGGGCTGGACCTGGGTGCTGACGACTGGGGCCCAGAAGGCCGATGTTGATGTCTGATCATGCTCTTTAAATCCACAAAGGTAACACAACTATATTGGCGCAAACTGCTTGTGTGGCCGCAGCCCATGTGTTTATGGGCGCCCACCTCTACAGAGACAAAACAGCTGTGGCAAAAGAAACCCTGGACAAGTGTGTGCACCTCTGTTTTTCCCCACCCCTTCACAGCACAGAAGTTCCTGTTTTCAGAAACATCGCTGGCTCCCTCCTTGCCCCTTTGCTTCTCTGTGTTATTTGTTTCGTGTTCTAAGGGTGATGTAAATCTTCTGTGGGTTTCCATCCAAGACACTGGCGATGGAATGTGGGCAGGCGGCCGGGGTCCTGTGACCCAGCAGCCCCCGCTATCCTGTGCTGGACGCAGCCAGGGCACTCCCAGAGCACACAAAAACATTGTCTCGCCCACGCCAGCAGGCCGCAAAACAAGGCTATTTTTATTTCCCGATAAGTCTCATCCCCACGCACACCAGATCTGACAAACATTTAGACAGAGCCGATTTAAAAGGGCCTCCGATCGGCTTTTTCCCCCTCTGCTGTTGTACTTTCTCCAAGAATAGTTTTGCATTTAAAAAGTCACGATGAATAGTTCCCCTTATATGAAGTTCAAGAGGCGCCCGTTCTTGTACCCTTGATGGCACTGCCAACAGCCCTCTCTTTAAAACCAGCAGTATGCACCAGTTGGAAAACCCTTGGCTCTCCAAAAAGAGAAACACACAAGGCTATTGACCAGTGCTTTAATCACACAAGACACGCGGGCAGGGGGGGAGAGAGAGAGAGAGAGAAAGAGAAAGGAGGAATCTCGATGCTGATCTGAGAGAGGACAGTTCTTGCTCAGCTTTGGCTTTAATGAGGTTTTTTTTAAAATACGTGCCACAGAGAAAAGATATACTTCTTGTACTTCTGGAATATGTGCAGTCATTTAATTAAGAAGCCTGCTTTTGGTGCCAAAGCAGAATATATATTTTTTTTAAAGCACAGCTAATATGCCACATAAATATTTTACCTTCTTGGAACTGTTGATGAAACAGATTTGGAAAGAGGTGCAGCGTGGAAGGAGGAGGAGGAGAAAGGCAACACGGAGGATGTGCTGAAAACATGATGGATGTGAAGTTCTAATAGGATAAGGACACTCATACACAGCTAAGATAAGGGGTTCTCGGGCGTCAGTCTCACCGAAGCCCTTTCCGCACTCTCCTTTTAATCCATGTTCCCCACAGCGTCCTCCAAGCCATTCTGCACTAAAATCAAATTCAACCTTCTTTTTAATCCAGGTTTTCCCCCCCTATTGTGCACTAAAACAAAGTTCAACCATCTTTTTATTCCAGGGTTCCCCCCCCCCCCAATTCTGCATTACATTCCTTCCCTTCAGTGGTCAGTCTGCTGTTGCCCTGGGTTATTTGGATGCTGTTTTGCTGTGGACTTACATTGCCTCCACTGGAACCCTGAGAAAATCTGGAGTGGCAGGCAAATGCCGAAAGGACCTGATTAGGTCTGCTCAAAGGTGAAAGAACCCAGTCGCTTCCAGATGGACCTAAAAACTGCACAGCATTCACCCCACACACACACACACACACCCTCCATTCCACAACACTTCCTCCAAAAGGTAAAGGTGGGAAACAGGATAAGAAGTGAGTAAGCAGGGACAGGAGTTGGACTTTTTCAAGCAGGGGCCGAATAATTATGGATCGAAAGCAGTTCGGCATCCGGCTTTGTCTGATGGTCCCCCACGGCAACAGATCCAGCTTCTGCAGCCACCCACCCACCCACCATTCCTTTCCCCAGCTACTGGCAGCCTGCATGAAAGCGCTCACTGGTGACAGCAGCTGAAACGGATCCAAAACCGAGCGTCTGACACCTCGAGCGCCAGTTCTGCGTTCCTAACTAGCAGCCCCCAGGTTGAACGAGCCAGTGAGGATGGCAGCCAGAGACGCTCACACTTCCTAGGATGCCAGCAAGCAGATCACTTAAAAAGTGAACAAATAAGGAGAGGGTTTTCAGGGTTTTGTTTTTCCAGAGAGAGCAGGGCGGGAGAAAAACAACAGCCCAAAACTTAGCATTCTGTGTCATTACATGGACCAGGGTTACTGACAGTAACTGACAGGACCGTAGCCAGGATTTTTGAATTCAAGGGGGCTTTAAATAAGCCAGGGGGCACTGAAATAAAAATAAAAAAACTCACGTACGCTGGCTGGGCCCTGCCCCAGGAGGTCTTTCCATGCGCAGCAACAGGGCAAGGGGGTGGGTGAGTGAGTGCTGATGTGCCCTGGAAGCCAAGCTGGCCTCCGCCAGTGCTCCGGCTGGGCACCCAGGCATAGGAGGAGGAGGAGGAGGCACCCCGCCCGGTTCTGCCAGTCTCGGCCATGCCCCACACCTGCCCCGGCCCCGCCAGCCTCTGCTGGCGGCTTGCTTTAGCTTCTGCTGCGAGCGCCCAGAGAACTGAGCGTTCAGACAGACACGCCCAGCACCGGGGCTGCTTTTTCAGACGGCCATGTAACGTCAGTGTGGCCAAGTGGTGGGGGAAGTGTAGGCTCCGAGCAGCATATCGCTTGCAGTAGCTTGCCGGCGCACACGTTGCTTCCCCCCCCCCCCGCACAGCAGGGACACCCCGGCATGCATCTCAACCTCTCTAGAGCCGCCTGCACTTCATCCCCAGCCCCGCTCCCCCAACCGCCAGCCCGGGATGGAGCGTGCGGGGCTGCTGGCAGGAGGGGAAGGGAAGGGGCGGCGGGGAGTCCTCCAGGCGGCCTACAAAGTCTACCTTCCAAGCAGCCATAGGAAGTTGTGGGGGCATGGCAGGAAGTCAGGGTGCCGGGTTCTGGGAGGCCCCACCATAGCTAGGGGCCTGGTTACTGTAGGAGAGGGAGCACTAGAGCTCAATCAAAGAAAGATGCAAACTTAGCAGAGGAGACGCAAAACTGTGTAGCTTCCAGAGAGGTCAAGGCTCAAACATTGGGTAGGGAGGAAGGAAATGGGTATATAGTATTGGGGTCCTGACAAGCCTGGCCCAGACGGTACGGTTACCAACTTCAATGTGGGAACTGGAGTTCTCCCAGAATTACAACTGGTCTCCAGACCACAGTGATCGGCTCCCGTGGAGGAAACGGCAGCTTCATAGGGAGTACCCCATAGTGTGCCTTACAGTCTAGGAGAAACTGGAAGTCCTAGAGTGACACCAAATCTCAGCTGAGGTCCCTTTGCTCCCCAGACTCCGCCCTTCCCAGACTCCGCCCTTAAATCCTCTGGGATTTCCCACGCTGGAATTGGCAACCCTCAGTAGACAGCAAGTTCGTTACCATAAAGTGGTTTATTTACCTCCTTTCAGAAATAAAATATAGTGGCCCTTTCCCCCTTGATTTTTGAGACTGTACATACGGGTTGGGAGCAAGGGAGGGGATGGGTGGCAAAACAGAATTTTAACAGCAGAATAATAAAAGAGGCATATCCCTTCTTCCTGCTTTCCCCCCGTATGGCACCAGGGACTACTCTGGCACCAAAACGAGTGCATGGCTACCAAACGTCACCCAAGACTGTTGTGCCTTAATCACACACCGAGAACCAATGGGAGTTTATTTAAGACACACATATGAAGCTGCCTTATACTGAACCCGAGCCCTGGTCCATCAAGGTCAGTACTATCTACTCAGACTGACAGCCGCTCTCCAGGGTCTCAGGTAGAAGTCTTTCCAATCGCCTGCTACCTGATCCATTTATCTGGAGATGCTAGGGACTGGATCTGGGACCTTCTGCATGCCAAGCAGGTGCTTTACCACTGAGCCATAGCCCCTCTGAGTTATTAGGGGTCGGAGAGGAGACAGTAGGAAGGAAGGAAGGAAGGAAGGAAGGAAGGAAGGAAGGAAGGAAGGAAGGAAGGAAAAGAATAAGAAGAGGAGGAGGAGGAGGAGGAGGAGGAGGAGATGGATGGATGGATGGAGGGATGGATGGATGGATGGATGGATGGATGGATTTATACCTCACCCTTCATTACCCAAAGTGAGCTGAGAGAGCAATTTCAAGAACTAGTCCTTTGAGAACTCCTCCTGAGAGAACAGCCCTGAAAGGTCACACCAGCAGCTGCATGTGGAGGAGTGGGGAATCAAACCCGGTTCTCCCAGATTAGAGTCCGCGCTCCTAACCACTACACCAAACTGTAAGTTCCTACTGGACTCCAAGAAATTATGCTTGGGCCCCCTAAGGCTTGGCTCAATGGTGGAACCCCTGTTTGGCATACGGAAGGTCCCAGGTTGAACTTGTAACGGACCCAAGGTCACACCAGCAGCTGCATGTGGAGGAGTGGGGAATCAAACCCGGTTCTCCCAGATTAGAGTCCGCGCTCCTAACCACTACACCAAACTGTAAGTTCCTACTGGACTCCAAGAAATTATGCTTGGGCCCCCTAAGGCTTGGCTCAATGGGGGGGACCCCTGTTTGGCATACAGAAGGTCCCAGGTTCAATCCCTGGCCTCTCCATCTAAAAGGATCAGGCAGCGGGTGATGCGAAACACCTGTGCTTGATCCCTTGAAAAGCCACTGTCAATCTGAGTAAACGGCACTGACCTTGAAGGACCAAGGGTCTGGATTTCAGTATCACGCAGCTTCACGTGATCACCCCGATCAAGAAGTCCTGACTTAACTGTCCAAAGGGCACTTGCCCGGAATCCCCAGAGACCGCCTTCCACACTGACCTGTCTTGTAGATCTCATAGCGCAAGGAGAAGCCGGCACCTTGGCGGGCGTAGTCGGAGGTGAATTTAATATAGAGAGAAGGGCCTGATGAAGTGATAGTCGGAGGAGCGATGTTCCCACAGTGCTTCCCGAGCAGGTCGGCTGAATCGCTGTCCCCATCTCGTATCTCGATGAAGTCATACCTGTCAATCGAGAGGCGGGAAATAAGACGAGGCTCAGTAAGGAGAACGACATAAATTAAACCTTCTCCTAAAAGGAAGTATCTTCATATATGGGCATATTGCCTATTTGCATACTGATTTACCTGCTTGGGCGTTTCAGCTCCTCCTCTCTAAACCCTCCCACGGATAGGCTCAATTCTTTATACGTTAAGCATAAAAGCGCTGCCGTTTCATTAATATGTTTTTTGCAGCCTCTCACTATTTATGCTTCTGCCGTCCAATTATCCCGCTGATCAGAATTCGCCGCACGCCCTCCCAAAACAGCTCGACGGCAGCAAGATCCTGTGAAATCTGTACTCCTGCTCATTTAATTCAAAACTTTTCATGATCCGAACAGTCAATATGTTCCACCAGCCAGTCTGATAAATGCGTCTTATAAAATACATAAAAACCACAGCGCGCCCTCACCACACTCCGTAAACGATACGGGTTTTTCATGTACTTATCTAAAATATAATTTCTTTTCTAAGCACACACACACACCAGTATCTGGAGCTGTTTTCCTCAGCGGATCCTTTTGTGTGCAAAATTCAGCCCAGCGTTTCGACCCGATGAAACGGTGACTCAAGAAAATCTGGCAGTTTCCACAAAAAACATGCAAAGATTCTCTGCCCAGGACGGACACCAGACCAGTTTTTACGGTTTCCTTTCAGGGCTGGCGTCGGCACACAGTGCCATGGGGCATCTGGCAGGGCCCACTGCCACCGACCCACCCGCCTCTCCGGCTGCCCACCTGTCCGTTCTTCCCCCACCAATTGCCTGAAGGACACTGCCATCCGTGCCCCCAGCTGCATGTGCTTCCGCCCATCAACGTCAGGAAAAGGGCATTTGGATGGTGCAGGCAGTTGTGCCCGTGGGCTGGGAGGGGGCTCGTGAGTTTTTAGGGAAAGGATGCACAGGCACATGGGTCAAGGAAGGGAGGCACGAATGGGGGACCTGGTGGTAGGCAGGGAAGGGGGACACATGGGTACGCTCGGTCCAGGGCCCCCCCCCCCAATCTGGAACCGGTCCTGCATCCGTTCACGACTACCCCGGTGCTTCTGATCTGCCCACACAGGGGCACGCTTAAACCATTTACCCAGAACTCCAAAAACCCAGAAGACATCAAAAATCGGTTTAAAGGTAAGCTAATCAAATATGGAGAAGAACTGTGCCAACTGGTGAAAATTCTGAATAATGCAGACATTATTTTCATTATACAGTATGAGTTTCTTTGGCACCGTGTGTCCGTTTCCCTCTTGTTTATGGAAGGAGTGCTTGATCGCAGTCCACAATTCCCTTATCCTCTTCTGAATCTTAGAAGCCAAGGTTTTAGAACATTCCAACAAGAGTGAATGTTCTTTGTAAACCACCTCTGTGTTCTTTCCAACCAGGCTGCTTTCTCTTTCTCTGTTTTCTTTGCTGTCGGACATGGCAGAAACAACTGTATAGGATTGCTTATGGGATTATAAACCAGTCTAATGTTTTTTTATTTTAAACATGCATTTGCTTTGTGAAGGGGTAAGATATTTTGCTGACCATTACATACACACACAAAAATAAAAACTTGAACACTGTCTTCCCTATCACAGCCAGTTATATATCTTTTAAAAGGGATATAATATACCCCCTTTGTGAATATCAACTAAATGTTAAGTCTATCATCCACGAATCCTTTTGAATTGTTCTTGAGCATTAGACTTACAGTGTGTGAGGTTCCCAGTAAGCCACATGCCTGGGCATTGAAGAAAGTTGGTCTTCTGTTTCCTTGTTCTTATTTCCTATCTTTCTTAATCATTCTTAACACGCGATAGTGTTTTAAAGTGTTCAAAACACCTAACATACCTTTTCAGTAATTCCTGTTAAAAAAAACCCATAAAGCAAGCTAATCTCCCTTATAAATAAAAGCCAAATGGTGGTGGCACTTCTCTAGAACATTCCACACGCGCCAAAATCAGTTTGCTCTCTGATCTGTCATTCAGAGGGTCTCCCTATCCACTGGCTGCTTTGCCTGAGTCCTGCCTCCAACATTCTAAACAATTTGCTGTTCCTCTCCCCCCCATAGCCAGTCAGAATACAGAGGTTATTTGCATATGCAGCCTCATTGGCCTTTGCCTCAGAACGGAGGTCGTTTGCATATGCGACTTGATTGGCTTTTGCCTCTAACATTCTAAACAGTTTGCTCTTCTGAGGCAAAATGTGTCCAATCTCCAGGTGAGGGCTGGAGATCACTCAGAATTACAACTGCTTTCCAGATGGCAGAGATCAGTTCCCCTGGAGAAAATGGAGGGCTCTGTATCCTTATATGCTGCTGAGGTGGCCCCCATATGACAGCCAATGTGACGTAGCAGTCAGGGCTTCAGAGCACAGGAGAGGCTGCAGGTGTGTGGGGGGTAGAAAGCTGAAGAGTGAGGGGGAAATAAAGGTAGGTTGATGGTTGGCTGGGAAGGAGATAGGGTTGCCAACTCCAGGTGGGAAATTCCTGGAGATGTGAGGGATGGAGCCTGGAAAGGGTGAGGTTTCAGGAGGCGTGGGACCTTGGACAGGTACAAAGCCATAGACTCCACCCTCCAAACCAACTATCCCCTTCTGGGGAACCATCGTTGCCAATCT